CACAGGCAGGGGCCTCCAAACAGGGGGTTCCAAACACAAACAACAGCACGGGGCTCCAAACACGGGGCTCCAAACACAGACACCAACATGGGGCTCAAACATGGACACCAACACAGGGCTCCAAACAGGGGGTTCCAAACACAAACACTAACATGGGGCTCAAACACAGGGCTCAAACATGGGGCTCCAAACACAAACACCAATATGGGGCTCAAACAGGGGGTTCCAAACACAAACACCAACACGGGGCTCAAACACAGACAGGAGCCTCCAAACAGGGGGTTCCAAACACAAACAACAGCACGGGGCTCCAAACACGGGGCTCCAAACACAGACACCAACATGGGGCTCAAACATGGACACCAACACAGGGCTCCAAACAGGGGGTTCCAAACACAAACACCAGCACGGGGCTCCAAACACGGGGCTGCAAACACAGACACCAACAGGGGGCTCAAACACAAACACCAGCACGGGGCTCCAAACACGGGGCTGCAAACACAGACACCAACAGGGGGCTCAAACACAAACACCAGCACGGGGCTCCAAACACGGGGCTGCAAACACAGACACCAACAGGGGGCTCAAACATGGACACCAACACAGGGCTCCAAACAGGGGGCTCCAAACACAAACACTAACATGGGCCTCAAACACAGACAGGGGCTTCCAAACAGGGGGTTCCAAACACAAACAACAGTACAGGGCTCAAACATGGAGTTCCAAACAGGGGGCTCAAACACAAACACCAGCACAGGGCTCCAAACAAGGGGTTCCAAACACAAACACCAACACGGGACTCAAACAGAGGGTTCCAAACACAAACACCAACACAGGACTCCAAACACGCGGTTCCAAACACAAACACCATCATGGGGCTCAAACACAGGGCTCAAACATGGGGCTCCAAACACAAACACCAATATGGGGCTCAAACAGGGGATTCCAAACACAAACACCAACACAGGACTCCAAACACAGGGTTCCAAACACAAACACCAACACGGGACTCAAACACAGGGCTCAAACAGAGGGTTCCAAACACAAACACCAACACAGGGCTCAAACACGGGGCCCAAACACTCGGCTCCAAACACAGTGTTCCAAACATGGGGTTCCAAACACGGACACCAATACAGTGCTCAAACACAGGGCACCAACACCAGATTCCAAACACAGGGAACCCACACAGGGCATCAACACAGGGTTCCAAACACGCAGTTTCAACACGGGGCACCAACATGGGGCTCCAAACACAAGGTTCAAACACGGGGCACCAACATGGGGCTCCAAACACAAGGTTCAAACACGGGGCACCAACATGGGGCTCCAAACATGAGGCACCAGGATGGGGCACCAACAGGAGGCACCAGCACAGGGTTCCAAACACAGCACTGCAACATGGGACACCAACATGGAGTTCCAATTATGGGGTTCCAACACAGGGCACCAAGATGGGGTTCCAAATATGGGGAACCCACACGGGGTTCCCAACACAGGGTTCCAACATGAGACACCAACATGGGGCTCCAAACATGAGGTACCAACACAGGCACCAACATGGGGTTTAAACATGGGGAACCAACATCCCATTACAAAGACAGAGTTCCAAACATGAGCACCACCACAGGGCTGCAAACACTGGACACCAGCCTGGGGTTCCAAACACAGGATTCCAACACAAGCACCACCAGCTCAGGGAATCCACATAGGGCACCATCAAGGGGTTCCAAATATGAAGTTCCAGCATGGGACATGAACATAGGGAATCCATGGGCTGGAACACTGGCACTAACACAGGGTTCCAAACACAGGCTCCAACACAGGGCACAAATACAGGGTTCCAAACATGGGCACCAACACAGGGCACCAACACAGGGCACAAATACAGGGTTCCAAACATGGGCACCAACACAGGGCACAAATACAGGGTTCCAAACATGGGGTTCCAACACAGGGCACCAAAATGGGGTTCCAAACACAGGACATGAAGATTATGAAGTTCCAGCATGGGACATGAACATAGGGAATCCATGGGCTGGAACACTGGCACTAACACAGGGTTCCAAACACAGGCTCCAACACAGGGCACAAATACAGGGTTCCAAACATGGGCACCAACACAGGGCACAAATACAGGGTTCCAAACATGGGGTTCCAACACAGGGCACCAAAATGGGGTTCCAAACACAGGACATGAAGATGAGGCACCAACACAGGTTTCAAACACGAGGCACAGGGCATCAACATGGCATTCCAAACATGGGCCTCCAAACATGAGACATCAACATGGGGCTCCAACACAGGGCACCAGCATGAGGCACCAACAGGGGTTCCAACTTCCTGCAGATGCCAACCCGCTCCTCGAGATCATTAAATTTGCACTTGGTCCCAGGGAGGGCTGATAACACCGTCACACTCCAGGGGCTGGTGTTGGCAGGTAAAATAATGCACTTTCCCAAACTTGCTGGACACCCTGCAGGGCTGGAATGCTCCTGGCTGCTCCCAAAGCAGCAGCACACCTGGGGTGAGGTGGAAATCCACATTTCCATCATCTCCAGCAGCTCCAGGACCCCCTCCTAGACACAAGCACAGATTCAACAGCCCATTCCCAACCCTTCCGCTTGTGGGATTTCCCATTTTTCTGAGGTAGTGCCCAACCATGGCACTGCCAGGAAACCTTGGTTCTGCCACTGACTCAGTGCCTGGAGTCAGCAGGGTCTGGTTTTGTGCCGTGGATGGATTCCTCTGTAAAACCAGTGGAATTACAGTGCTGGGGGTCTCTGGGGAAAGCTGGCATGGGCTGTTCTTGGAAAACACCATCTCCCAGCAAATGCCATGGACACCACGACAGCCAGTCTCAAAGTACAGCTCTGACCCTTTCCCCACAGTCCAGCACCACAGGAACCCCCAGCCATGGCACAGACTGCTCCAAGCTCAAAACAAACGTCTCCAATTTCAGCACCAGCATCTCTAAGCTCAGTACAAACCAGCTGCAATGAGTTTTGTATCTCCAGACAAAAGTCAGGACCATGGGGTTGGACTTCTAAGTGGCTCAGAACTAATCCTGCTGACTTCTCTTTCCTTTTAATTAGTCCTGAGCACTGAGACATCCCCACGCTCCCCAGAAGTAACCACTAATCAGGCAGGGTATGAGCTCCAGTAATTACCCGGATTTGCTCTCCATCCTCCCTGCAGTAATTGCAGCCCTGAGTAACTCCTGCCCTGAGTAGGGCTGAGCCCTGTGCCAGGCATGTGGAGCACGAGCCTGGCCAGGACCATGATCCTGAGGCTCAGCAGCACCCAAATCCCTTTAGCCTCCAAACCTGTTTTACGAGACTGACTCCACTGATGGAAGAGCTCTGGCTGGAGAGATGCTGGGGCGGGACACAGTCCAAGGAGAGGATTTCCAGAGGAAAAGTTTTTATTGGACCACAGTCCCACCTTGTTCAGACTCAGCCATGGGCTGGACTTGTTTCTCCCACAGTCCCTCACTTGTTAAGAGCAATGTTCCTAAAAAAAAAAATGTTCTCTCTTTTTTTAGAGGGAAGAAAAGGGAGAGGGAGAGGGAGAGGGAGAGGGGAGAGGGAAAGAGAAGGGAAAACGGGATGGAGGAAGGGGGAAAAGAAGGGGGAAGGGAAAAAAGAAGGGAGAAGGAGAAAGCAAAGGGGAAGGGGAAAGAGGAGGAGGAAGGGAGACAAGAAGGGAGAAGGGGGAACACGAGAAGAACAGTTCCATTGGAAGGGACCTACATCCATCCTCTGCTCCACCTGGAGCTCTGTTCCCATCTGTCATGGAGAAAAGAACCTTCAAAAACCCCTGTGGGTCCCTTCCAGCCTGGGATACCCCATCATCCCATTACATATTCCCAGCAATATGGAACATTGGCCATCAGTCCCATGGCACTTGCACAGCTCCTCTGGAAGGGAAAAATACTCCGTTTATTGTAGAGCAAGAGCCTCTGTTAGAGCCCAAACATGGACAGTTGGTCCTGCTGCTCTGCATCCCTCTGGGATAAAATGATCCCACCTCAGAGCCGGCTCTGGGGAGGAAAAACCAACTCCTCAATTTCCAGTAAAGCCACCAACCCCAATGACAAGGTGAGGAAAAGGTTTTGCAGACATCCCTCAGGAACAGGAAATGGAGAAAAGGGAAAAGAAACTTTCTGGGCAAGGAGCAGATGGGAAGAACCAAATCCCAGAGAAGAAGTTCTCACTCTGGGATTGACACCAAGAACTAAAAGGACGTTTATGAAGAGCAGAGTTGGCCAGAATGGCCATAATCAGGGTACAGTTGGTGCTCCAGCTGTGGGGTTACATGGGAATTTCTGACAGTCTTTGCGTTGAGATTGGTTCCCAATTTTCTGGGTAGGAAATCTGTGCCCAGGCTGCAAAATTCTGGTGCTCTGAGGAGCTGAGCTGTAGTGAATCCCTTTTGTGCCTCCCCCGCACTCTTCATGGAATCATGGAACATCCTCGGTTGGAAGAAACTCTCCAGGATCATTGAATCCAACTCCTGGCCCTGCACAGGACACCCCCAGGAATCCCTCCACGCTCCTGGATTTTTCTGGTTGTTAAGTCACAACCCATGGCCTGATTTTCAACACAACCCGATCTCAGCTCCAACTCCACAGATCCCCCCATTGCTTCCTGCCCTCTCCATGCTCCCAGGGTCCAGCTGCAAGAGCATTTCTGGGGATTGATCCCAGGTAAGGAAGCCCAGGAGAAGGGAAGCAGTCCTTCCCAGCACTGCTGGAGGCTGATCTACGACCTCCCCAGGGTGGCGAGCGCTGCATTCCCGGCTCTAATAGAAGGGGCAGGATCTGATGTTCCCTCAGCTGGAACACAGCAGGAAAAAAGCATCAGATTTCCCGGGAGCGTGATCCCATCCCCTTCAGCAGCTGATCCTGTGCCCCCCCTGCCTCCAGGTATATAAATGTTGTCCCAGGTCACCCTCAGGGACACAGCAGGAGGTGGCACGGATCGTTCCTGGGAGCCTCCATGATGTGGGAACTGCGCTCCATCGCCTTCACCAGGGCCGTCCTCGCGGAATTCCTGGCCACTCTGGTCTTCGTCCTCTTCGGCCTGGGCTCGGCCCTGAACTGGCCCTCGGCGCCGGCCCCAAGCACGCTGCAGATCGCGCTGGCCTTCGGCCTGGCCATCGGGACGCTGGTGCAGGCGCTGGGCCACGTCAGCGGCGCCCACATCAACCCCGCCGTGACCCTGGGCTGCCTGCTGGGCTCGCAGCTCTCCCTGCTCCGTGCCCTCTTCTACGTGGTGGCGCAGCTGCTGGGCGGCGTGGTGGGCGCTGCCATCCTGCACGAGGTCACCCCGGCCAGCGCCCGCGAGGGCCTGGCCCTCAACAAGGTGAGGCCGCGGCACGGGGTGGGCGCGGCAGGCTGCGGGGAGCATGAGGGGTGGCAGGAAAAACCCCCTCAGCTGGCCCAAAACCTCCAGCTGGTGATCCCAGAATTCCCCAAAATTCCCATGGGGATTTTCCTCAGAGAACTGGGAGAGGCCCAAATTCCATGGGAGTTTCATCCCAAATCCACCCAAAAATCCCTAAAAACCCCCTCAGCTGCTCCAAAACCTCCAGCTGGGGATCCCAGAATTCCCGGAATTCCCCAAAAATTCCAGGGATTCCCCAAAATTCCCACTGGGATTTTCCTCAGAGAATGGGGAAAGGTCCCAAAACGGAGGAATTCTGTGCAAATTTCATCCCAAATCCACCCAAAAATCCCTAAAAACCCCCTCAGCTGGCCCAAAACCTCCAGCTGGTGATCCCAGAATTCCCCAAAATTCCCATGGGGATTTTCCTCAGAGAACTGGGAGAGGCCCAGATTCCATGGGAGTTTCATCCCAAATCCACCCCAAAATCCCTAAAAACCCCCTCAGCTGGCCCAAAACCTCCAGCTGGTGATCCCAGAATTCCCCAAAATTCCCATGGGGATTTTCCTCAGAGAACTGGGAGAGGCCCAGATTCCATGGGAGTTTCATCCCAAATCCACCCCAAAATCCCTAAAAACCCCCTCAGCTGGCCCAAAACCTCCAGCTGGTGATCCCAGAATTCCCCAAAATTCCCATGGGGATTTTCCTCAGAGAACTGGGAGAGGCCCAGATTCCATGGGAGTTTCATCCCAAATCCACCCCAAAATCCCTAAAAACCCCCTCAGCTGGCCCAAAACCTCCAGCTGGTGATCCCAGAATTCCCCAAAATTCCCATGGGGATTTTCCTCAGAGAACTGGGAGAGGCCCAGATTCCATGGGAGTTTCATCCCAAATCCACCCCAAAATCCCTAAAAACCCCCTCAGCTGGCCCAAAACCTCCAGCTGGCAATCCCAGAATTCCCGGAATTCCCAAAAATTCCAGGGATTCCCCAAAATTCCCACTGGGATTTTCCTTAGAGAACTGTGAGAGGCCCAAAATCAGAGGAATTCCATGGGAGTTTCATCCCAAATCCACCCAAAAATCCCTAAAAACCCCCTCAGCTGCTCCAAAACCTCCAGCTGGGGATCCCAGAATTCCTGGAATTCCCCAAAAAATCCAGGGATTCCCCAAAATTCCCACTGGGATTTTCCTCAGAGAATGGGGAAAGGTCCCAAAACGGAGGAATTCTGTGCAAATTTCATCCCAAATCCACCCAAAAATTCCTAAAAACGCCCTCAGCTCCCCAAAACCTCCTGCCAGGGATCCCAGAATTCCCAAAATTCTCAAAAATTCCCAGAATTCCCAGTGAGGAAGCCTCTGAATGCCACAGCCCCGCACCTGCTGGACCCTGCTGCTCCAAGGGTCCTGCCAGGAGCATGGAAGAAGGCAGGACTCCTCTTCCTCCTCTGGTTTTGTGGCTAGAATTTCCTGAGGTCCATCAACTATTTCCCATTGAGCCACTTCTTCCAACTGGGAAATTTCTCCTCTTTTTATATTGGTGCCAAAAATGTCCCCTGGTTTTGGGGCTAAAGCCAGAGGAAGGATGCAGCTGGCCACAGACACATCCCTTGGAGTCACAACCATCTCGTTTTTCCCCAGGACTGTTCTCAGGGGACCTGGATTCTGGGAGTCCCAGGGGTTTAAGGAAGGACACATTCAAAACACCCCCTCTCCATTCCTCTTGTCCCAGTCTTATCCCAATTTCCCCTCAGGTGTGGGCACAGGCAGCCTTTTCCTGGCTCTGCTTTGGTCAAGCCACAATTCCCAGGTTGCTGAAGTGGTGGGGACAGGAGAGATTTGGGTCTAAATCACAGATTTTCATTAGATTCAGCTCGTTGCCTCCCACTGTGATGGGATGATCACACCAGATCCAGCTGGTTCATCCCAAAACCCAACACATGGATTCCCTACAGCTCCACAAGGATCCCAGGCTGGTTTCAGACAGGGAAAAAATAAATCCAGGGAAGCTCAGGATGCCCACGGGGGATTCTCCAATGGTATCCTGGCCTCCAACTCCCCCTTCCCCACAGGAGGGGGAAAAGGAAATGAAACCCAGGGATTCACTGTCCCATCCCAGGGGGGCACAGGCACCTGCCAGGATCAGCATCACCCAACCCCAAAGGAGCGAGGGAGGAGCAGGGAGCTGGGTTGGGAAGCAGCACATGGAAATTGCCTTTCCCACAGCAGGGAGGCACTGCCAGGACTCAGCAGCACTGCCGGCGTGATTAAGAGGGTTAAAAAGAGGGAGTTTGTTGTGGTTTAATGTGAATGAGGGGATTTAGGCTGGCAATGACTGAAGGTAATAAAAGCACGAGGTTTAAGGGAGACTCAGACTGCCCAGCTTTGTTGGTTTACAGCTTAAAGTGGGAACTGGGGATTTTGAGAAGGCTTTTTTCTCCTGTGAGCTGTTCATGGTGTGGCTGCCTGCACAGATTATCCCTGTAAAAAGGGAGGGGAATACTGGGGAGAATAAAGAATATCTGACTCTGGAGCTTGGGCAGGAGGGCAGTTAGGACCTTCCTGGGATTACCTGGGATTAGATTTGGGAGGGGAGAAGGAAAGAAGGGACTGAGTTGAAGGAGATGGGTTACCACCAGGATCAGCTCCAGATCAGACCTGAGTCAAAAAAGTGTGGAAAAGGATTTTTTTTTCTTTTTTTCATTCCAAAATATTTATTTTCGATGTCTTCAAAATGCAACTTGTAAACTTTTCCAAAAGGCATTTTGAGTAGGAGGAAAAGGAAAAAAAATGCAAAAATACCAAAAAATTGCCAATAAAATTTCCTGAGAGGTCAATCAAGCATTTCCCATTGAGCCACTTCTTCTACCTGGGAAGCTTTTTCTTATTGGTGCCAAAAATCTCCCCTGTCTCCTTTGCCCCCCCCGATTTTGGATTCCTCCTCCATATTTCCTCCATACCTCCATACTCACAGAACCTGGCCTTGGAACATGTTTTTCCTCCCGTTCCAGCTGCACAATGAGACCACGACGGGGCAGGCAGTGACGGTGGAGCTGTTCCTCACCTTCCAGCTGGTCCTGTGCATCTTTGCTTCCACAGACGAGCGGCGTGAGGACAACCTGGGCTCCCCTGCCCTCTCCATTGGCCTCTCTGTGGCCGTGGGGCACCTCCTCGGGGTGAGTGGATGGGCCAAAACTTGGCACTTTTGGAGTTCTTTTTTTGTTTATGCCCCAAGTTGGTTTGGCTGCATCTCCGGGCTTGATGGGGAATATGTAACCTGTGGTTATCCAGTAGAGAGAGGAAAAAATCCCACTGAAGACAGAGAAAGCTGTGGCCTGAGCTCAGCCTTTATTTGGCATTAAAAACTTGGTTTTTTGGACTCTGTCTCTCCTTGAGTCCCACTGGGAGTTCCAGTTTTCTGTGGAATCTCTCCTGGAGCAAAGGTGTTGGCCGCTGGGGCTGCCAAGTGCAGGATGAGCCTGGGAAGTGTTTGGGATGGACACTCAGGGAAATCCCACCCAAATGCCCAAAGCAGCCCCCACACCAGTGCACACAGGAGAAAGCTGTTGGTCACACCACACCTTCCATCCTCAGTGCTCCACGAGCCGCTGTGTCCGTGGGATCATTCCTCTCCTGTCCCCAGAGGCACGAGAGGGAATTTTCCGCAGGAATGGGAGCTGGTCCCTGCAGGTCCTGGGGCTGCAGCACAGCAACACCAGGACACACAAGCTCAGACACCTCACAGTGCTGACTCAGGTGGAGGCAGCTCCTGGGATCCCTCCTCCTGGAACAGGAATGCTGAAGGGTGAAGCAGCAGCTCAGCTGTCACCCTAATGACACCCCAACGTTTTAAAAATGAGGTAGAAGGGCTCAGTGCTGACAGAGGCCGTGGTGTTCCCGGCAGATCCGTTACACCGGCTGCTCCATGAATCCCGCCAGGTCCTTCGCCCCCGCTGTCGTCGTGGGAGACTTCAGCGACCACTGGGTGAGAACTTGGCCCCGAGGGTTGGGTTGGATGAGGCCCCCACACTGCCAATATTCCTCGAAACTCACCAAGCCAGACAAATTCTGGGCATTTCCATGCCAGCTCCCAGCTGGAGGAGAGATGGAGAGATTAGGAGAAGGAGGTGGGGCTGCTGGGTGCTTAATTGGCTTTTCCAAACTCCAAAGTGGGAGCATTGCAACAGGATCAGGGTGTGAGGTCTGTTGACATGACTTGGCACAGGGAACAAAACCAATGGAGAGCGGAGCTGTTGCCAGTCCTGGGGAACTTTCCTGGTTCCTGGATCTAGGTGCACCTTTGGGAACACTCCCTGGCTCCCCAGGGAATGGCCATGGCTCTGAGCCTGCCAGAGCTCCAGGAGCATTTCAGCAATGCTCTCAGGCACAGGGTGGGATTGGTGGTGGTTGTCCTGAGCAGGGCCAGGGAGGATTTTCAGGATCCTTGTGAGTCCTTTCCAGCTCAGGAGATTCCATGATTTTATTGTTTTCATCTATAAAGAGCCTGGCTGGAGGCAGAGCTGTGGTGTTCCTGATGTTTTCCAAGGTGTCTGGCCCAGGCTGGTGCCTCCACCTCCTCCTCTTCCTCCTTCTCCTGCTCCTCCTCCCACAGCAATCCATGAGTGGGCAGGAAAATGCTCCTCCAGATGATGCCACATCGCTCAGCACGTTCACAATGGGCCTGTCATTAATGCAGAGTCTGAGCACAGGGGGGATGGTGGAAGAGGATGGTTGGGAATATCCCGGCACTGGAGGGGAGCTCAGATCCCCAGTGATGGCCAAAGCAGAGCTGACTTGGTGTTTTGTTCCCAGGAAGGAACCCAAACCCCTGGAATGCCCCTCAGAGTTCCTCCCCACCCTCCAAAGCCAGGCTGGGTTTTGCTCACCCCAATTTTCTCTCCTCTCCAGGTGTTCTGGGTGGGCCCCCTGATTGGGGCTGCAGCAGCTTCCATCCTCTACAACTACGTGCTGTTCCCTCAGGCCAAATCCCTCTCGGAGCGCTTGGCCATCCTCAAGGGCTGCGAGCCCGAGCAGGACTGGGCCGAGCGCGAGGCCCGGCGGCGCCAGTCCGTGGAGCTGCACTCCCCCCAGACCCTGCCCAGGGGGATGTCTGAGAAGGTGTAGCCAAACCTCTCCCTGGGCCGAGAGAGGAGCTGGAAATCTCTGGCACGGTTTTAGTGCTCGTCCAGAGGAGCATCTCACCTCTCCCCTCTCTTCCTTCGTTTCTCCTGGGGCACTGAAGTTGACTCCTCTCCCGGGGAGATGTGTGCTGGTCCCACCCACCTCCTGTCCCCAGCTCTCCCCACACCCGGGGGGTTCTGATCTGGGGGAGAGCCAGTAAATCCCAACCCTGCAGGAACAAGGGATCTCCCCAGGATGCCCTCTTCCACGTCCCCCTCGCAGGACACGGAGCTTGGCTGAGGCTGCTCCCTCCCGGAGAGCTCCGAGGAGCCTGAAGAGTGTTCATTACCCTGGGTGTGGAGGTTGCCACCCGATGCCTCATTGCTGCTGCACTCTGCTCCCGTCTCGGGTCCCTGCTTGGCTCTTGGCTCACACACAGGAGCGGGAGCAGGAGCGAGAGCACTCACTCTGAGCCATGAGTGCCACACACGACAGGTTCTGCTGTGAAAGGGACCAAAGTGCCATTTCCCACCCGCCACGAGACACGGAGGTGCTCCCACAGGGGCTTTCCTGGGAAGATGGGACTGGGAGCATGGCCATGAGTCCCTGCAGGCCCCGCTGGGGAGCACTTGCAAATTCTCCCTCCTGTGAAACAACAAACCCGGGTTACAGCCCAAACTCATACCCACCTTATTGTTGCGCCAGGGTTGTCCTTCCTCTCTCTCCCTGATTTTCCCTTCTTTTGTCTGGTCCTGTTCCCCTCGGACGCTCAGATCACCTGGAACACACCAAGGAACGATTTCACATCCAGCGTGTTCCAGGTGTGAAGAACCAGAATCATGGAATGGGTTGGATGGGAAGGGACCTCAAACCCCACCCAGTCCCACCCCTGCTGTGGGCAGGGACACCTCCCACTATCCCAGGCTGCTCCAAGCCCTGTCCAACCTGACTGTGGACACTTCCAGGGATCCAGGGGCAGCCACAGCTGCTCTGGGAAATCCATTCCAGGGCCTCCCCACCCTCACAGGGAGGAATTCCTTCTCATCTCCATCACTGGCTTCTCACAGCCCTTTCTCATGGCTGCATCACTCCAGACCCTCCAAACCCCTCCCAAGCCTTCCCTGAGCCCTCTCAGGACCTGGTCATGGTCCTCAGCCTGGCCAAGGAATTTGGGTTGGTCTTTGGGTGAACTTTGCTCTTTCAGCCATTGGTTTCACTTTCTTTGTCCCAAGTTCTCCATTCCCAGAGTGGATCCCAGCAGTGTCTCCAGCATTGCCCCACCAGTGTCAGCCCCACCAGGATTTCTCTGGAAAGGCTGTTACAGGAATATTCAATGAGACTGGGCCCAATTCCAAATCATAAGGGTGATTTATGGATCATTGTGGATCATTTCCCTCCCCCTGTTCTGACAGGACACCCCTCACCAAAGGATGAGGGGTGTCCTTCACTCTGCTCCACTGGCACCATCCCCTCCTCCCATCAGATCCATCCTTGCCTTCCTCCCCGTGCTCTTCCTCAGATGTTGGAGTGGCTGTTACTGGAGGGGTGAGGAAGGAGCCCAGCTTTGATCTGGCCCAGACCTGGTGTTTATCCACAGCCAATCCATGAAAATACCCCCAGAGGGCTTTGCCAAGGCAGCACTTCCAGCCCTGGTTTGATCCACCCAAAACCAGGATTCTGCTTCCCTTTGCTCCTTGATGGTGGATTTGAATTTTAGCTCAGAAGAGGCTTCTCGAAAATTCCCTCTGTTCTCAGCAATGGCAATAAATCAATCCCAGTGTCAAATTGTATTTCTGTTATCAAATGCTCACTTTTGAAAGTCATATGGGGGTTTTGATGCTTTCTTAAAGGAAAATTAATCCATGTATGTGTGCAGGAAAATCCCGGCGGACTTTTCCAGAAGTCACTCTGGGCATGTTCTGTTGTAGAAAAAGCCACAGCTGAATTCAGTTATTTATTTAAATTAATGTTGGTGTGTTCAATGTCTCTTCTCCAGATCGAAGCATTTCATTTATTATTTACCCTGACGATGTTTAAGTCTCACAGGGCCTGAACCTGAGGTTTAATATCTGGTAATGGCTCTCCTCTTTCCCATGAAGTGCTTTAAATTTCCTTTTACTCCCTGAATTTGGACATGGGGATCAAATACTGACACATTTATGAAAAACACTGACATATTTGTGGTAAAAAATAGCTATAAAATCACCTCAGACCCCAAACCCCTCAGCCAGGGGGCTGAAGCAGTCCCAGTCTTCCTGAGAATACAAAATTGCCTTCCCTGTGGAGCTGGGTCGCTTCCCAAACTTGCCCTGTCAGGAAACCATCCCAACATTCCAGATTGCACCAGGGGAGCTGGAATTGGAGGGCAGGGCCAGGAACCTGGAGCTGCCACGGGCCGACCACAATCCTCACTAAACTGGCAGCAGCTGGATGTCAGAGCCAGGATTTGAAGCATTCCCATGTCCTTCCACCTCCAAGATCAAGGTTTTCACCTTCTCCCACCTTGGGGTCAGGGGTGCCTCAGCTTTGGGCTGATCCTTCTGCAGAGCTGCAAAAATTCCAGAGCATTTTGCACACCCTCACATCCCCTTCCTTGTCCTTGCTGCTTGGCCGCCATGTTCCTGGAGCCATGGTGTTGTTTAGGTTGGAAAACGCCTTGGAGACCATCCAGCCCAAGCGTTTCCCCACCCCTGATCATGTCCCCAGGTGCCACAGCTTTGAAATCTCTCCAGGGATGGGACCCCACCCCTGCCCTGAGCAGCTGTCCCTGGTCTGGAAAACCCTTTCCATTGAGGAAATTTCCCCCAATATCCGACTAAACCTCCCCTGGCACAGCCTGAGGCCACTTCCCTTGTCCTGTTGTTCCCTGGGAGCAGAGCCTGACCCCCCTGACTGAACCCTCATGTCTGGGAGTTGTGCAGAGCCACAAGGTCCCCCCTGAACCTCCTTTTCTCCAGGCTCAGCCCTGCCCAGGTCCCTCAGGAGTTCTCCAGCCCTTCCCCAGCTCCATTCCCAGCCCTGGACTTGCTCCAGCCCCTCAGGGTCTCTTCTGGCAGTGGGGTCCAAGGGGACCCCAGGATTTGAGGGGTCTCAGCAGAGCCCAGCCCAGGGGCCGTGCCTTTGTCCTGCTCCTCACAACTTCAGCCACAATTTGTAGTTAATCCCAAGGAATTCCCTCCCTTGCCCATTCCAGCTCCAGGATGGAGCATTGCCACACCCACCCACTGATCCCTTACCTGTTGTAGGGACCCAGGAGCATCCAAACCCCTGCTCAAGGAATCTGGGAGAACCTGGGAGCACAGACCTTGATCAGTGCCTGAGGGGTTTCTGCATCACGTGGGGAAATGGGAAAATGACTGGGAGAACATATAAATAAAATCATGGCCTGGAGAAGCCCAGGCCCACCTGTAGCTTGGAAATCCCAGCACAGGACAAACCTCTTCAGCTCCTGGTCACACCTGTGGGACAGGGAGGACAGAGATCAGATTTCAGGCCCCTTTGTCTTGGTGCAGCTGAAGCTCCTCCAGGCCAGGTGGGATGGCAGTGCCAAGGGGAGGGGGAAAATCACCTTCCCAGGGCCATCTCCCTCCCCACATCCTTCCCATTTATTCCAGGATGTGCTCCTTGTAAACCAAGGAAGGACTGCACAGATGAAGACATTTCCACAGCAAACACCTTTCCAGAGGAGAAACACCACTGCCCCCAGCTCTGAATCCTGAGGATACAACAAACGGCCCAAAAGAATTCCAAGTGAGCAGAAGGAGGGCCTTGGGATGTCCCTGGTGCCGGTGGCTTTGCTGGAAAGGGCTGGACCTGAAAATCAGGACACTGGGGGTTCATCCCACCTTTCCCGCTGTGTGGTTTGGTTTTCCAACCGGGCTTTGCTTTCCCTGACACTCATTATCCCACGGGACAATTTAACAGTGGTTTCAATGGAAATGAACTCCTGAGGGGGCAGAGCAGCCCCAGAGCTGCCGTGACCAGCAGGAGTTACTGAGCAAAGAGCAGAGCTGTCATTAAGCTTTGTCACCAGCCAGCATTAAAGAGCGTTCAGGTGGCACGCAGAGCACGGGTCAGCAGGTCACTGTCACCCCTGGCAGCCACGGCAGGCTGCAGGGACAGCAGCAGGGGACATGAGGACAGCCCCAGAGCTCAGTGTCACAGCGTTCTGGCTCTGGAGCCAGCACTAAAGGAAGCCAAAGCCTCGTTGCTGCAGGGCAGGAGAAAGTGGAAACGCCGCCAGCCCCAGGCCAGCGGTGTCATCACTCAGCTTCAAAGACAGGGCAGCAGATGGCAGTCAGATAAGAGGGATCCTTAAATCCCCATCTGAAACACCTGCACAGGGGCATCCCAAAGCAGCAGAAAACACTTCCCTGCAGCCCTCAAACTGAGGATCACGAGGGCAAAGTTTGCTGCTTCTGCTCTGTGATATTTCAGTTTTTCCTTATCAATTCCTCATTGCAAAATGCTGGAGCTGAGCCAGCAAGAAACACCTTTTCTCTTGAAAAACTGAACGAAACTTTCTCTTCTGATGTCATCCCAACCAAGGTCATTGGGTCATCTAATCCCTGCTCATGACTTTAGGTCATGGCTTGGACTTGAAGATCTCAGAGATCTTTTCCAGCTCAATTAATTGTGTGTTTCTGACCTCAGTTCCAGCAGAATTGGTGTCTTCTGCTCAGGACATCCTGTCACTGTTGTTATTCCTGCCTCTGTTACTGGGCCAGTTTTAAGGTCCTTGGCTGAGGTACAGAGCCAGGTGAGGAGGAAATCCCAAACCCTGGCTCAGCAGCATTTGTAACCTGAATTTGGAGCAGCCTCTGCCAGGCCCCAAGGTGCAGCACAGAGCTGAACTCACCAGAAAAAGCGAGGAAATGCAAATTAACAGCAGCAAATTAACAACAGCAAATTAACAACAGCCCCACACAGGCTCCAACTACGAGCTGGGTGACAGCAGGGACTGCCAGGGGCTGGCACAGGGTGGCCTCAATGACACACAGCCTCCCTGGGCGAGGCAGCCACAGGTGAGGATGAGGCAGCAGATGCCTCCCTCCCACCCCCTCCCCACTTTGGGGTCCCTCTCCTGAGTGGGAGATTAGGGCAGGTTATGGTTGTGTTTTTTGCCTGCCGATGCCAGCGAGGATGAGGAGGAGGAAGAGGAGGATGAGGAGGAGGATGAGGAGGAGGAAGGAGGAGAATGAGGAGGAGGAAGGAGGCAGCCAAACCTGCCCTGGTGCTGTCTCCTGCAGGGCGGGTGAGGCGAGGCGTGTGTGACCCCTGCACGTGGGTGTCCGTCTGTCAGCACCGGCCTGCCCCAGGCCTGCAGCACCTTGCCCAATTCCATTAAACCCGACACATCAAAGCACTTTCAGTTCAGCCAAGCTCCTCGGGTGGCAGGGAGCCACGGAGAGGACAGGGAGCCTTCCAAGTGCCAGGGCTGGCATCGGAGGAGGCAAGCAGGAATGCCCCAGTTAGAAAAGGTTCCCGAACTGCCTCGGGAAGAGAAGCTTTGCATGGTGTGTTTTCCGGAAGTTTTCCTTTCATTCCCAGCCCTATTTGATTATATCTCCTAGTCAGCTGCAGGATTTTGCTTGTTATTATCCACGCTTGGGAGGCTGGAAGAGCAATTTTTTGGCCTTTCAGCCGAAGCAAGGAGTGTGCTGGAGTAGCACACTCAGCAAAATGCAGCTGCCACCAGGGGATGGAGACATCGAGGAAGGATTTGAAGGATGGGAACAGGGATCATTTTATCCAGCTGGAGCCACAGACAGGGCTGAAGGGAAGTGGCAAGTAATTACCACCCTGGAATCCGGCCAGGGTGTCTTGAAATACCAGCTTGCAAAACTTTCACCAAAACACGCCAACGGACCAGGTGTTTCGAGGATAACAGATCTGGGCTTTGACTCTGCAATCAGCCCTGGGATCAGCAGATCTAGGAGAAAACCATTATCAGGAATTAAGGCTGTAACAGATCCTCAGTCCCTCGAGGCCCTCCAGGTCTGTTTTGCTCAGGATTTTGGGTACAAAGGAAGAGAAAAGCTCACTTATTTCCAGTCCTGGACAAGAAGTCCTCTCTCCTTGCTCTGGACAGGAATCCTCCAGGTGTTTGACCCCCCCAGGCTTCCTCAGAAGGCAGCAGTGAATCCAACTTTTTTGATTTAGGGAGGATTTTGCCCATGTCCAACTGGTTTACAATTTACAAATGCAGAGCTTTGCTCCCTGAGTGCTGCAGCATGGCTGCCCCTGCAGAGGGACCTGGCAGCCAGGGATAAAACCAGCCTGGGCATCATCTGGGAAAGGAAAAGTGGATCAACCGAGCAAGGAGAGCAAATCTGGCACCCAAACCCATCTAAAACAAATATCCTGGCACAAGGCTGCGAGGGCTATGAGAGAACCAAGAATTCTTTGTTAAGTGTCACCCGAGACCTTTTCCACCAGCTCCATGTGCACAGCCCCGAGAGCCTCCCCTGCCCCTCCCTGCCAGCCAAGCATCTGCCAATGTATGGGTTTGGGATGGAGGGCAGCGCCCCAGGAACATGAAAGGGGATGTGTAAACACAGCCTGTGTCCATGCTGAGCCTGTGCCTTGGTGCTGGCATTCCCAGGAGCAAAATCATTGCCCATTGAGCAAGAGCTGGAAAGGCAGAAAGAAAAGGAAAGGGCACAGGGTGACGGGGAGGAGACACCATTCCCAGCTGCACGCCCCAACTCCAGCACTTGTTCCAGTGCTCTGGAAGGAGCAGCAGAAAGGAAAGGGAGCAGAGGTTTAGAGCCAGACTCTGCACCAGGAGCCCTCTCCATGCTATTTCTCCATCTGCACACCTCAAGGAAGCTCCGGCTCATCTACAACTCCCCAGATGGACAAAGCTTCCCCCAAACCCTCCCCTGCTCCCTGGACAACTGCAAACCACTTATTTCCTGGAGCTGAGCTCTCTTGACAGACTGGGAGAAGCTCCAGGTGTTTGATTTTCCTTTACATTTCAAGGTTCCATGGAAATCGAACACACACGGAGCCCAGCCCCAGCAGAGCTCCTCCAGCCCAACAAGGGTTTTCCAACAGGAGGAGTGTGCAAGCACAGGGACGGAAGGGAGGGAGCAAAGATTAACTACACCTGTGCTAGTGAAACACCCAGGACCTGGTGAGAGGCAGGAAAAGCCAAAAGCAGAGGAGGGAGCTCAGCCTCGTTATGCAACCTCGTTATTTAACGACCACAGAGACACCCTATAGGGGCTCTTTGTTTGCAGAGGGAAAGGAGAGAAATACCACCAGTATCTGAGTCACAGGTTCACCAAGAGGCTCTGAAGACATTTTCAGGTGGAAACTTTTGCAGGTTCACTTGGTAATTTGGGAGGACTGGCTAATCCCCTGGCTCCACCCACCACCCTGTAACACAGCTCCTGCTGCTCTTGCATATATAGATAGGTATGGCCCTACACCCGGCTGCACACACCAGAGCCCGGGCACAGAGCAATCCTAAACTTTCTTCCTCCCTGGCTGCCCTCCACCTGCTCCCACCATGAAGAAGGAAATACTAACCCTGGCTTTTGCTCGAGCCGTCTTTGTGGAGTTCCTCTGCACACTCATCTTCGTCTTCATCGGGCTGGGCTCGGCACTGAAGTGGCCGTCGGCGCTGCCCAGCATCCTGCAGATCGCGCTGGCCTTCGGGCTGGCCATCGGCACCTTGGTGCAGGCCTTCGGTCACATCAGCGGCGCCCACATCAACCCCGCCGTGACCATCGCCTTCTTCGTAGGCAACCAGATCTCCCTGCTCCGCACGCTGCTCTACGTCGTGGCCCAGCTGGTCGGGGCCATCGCCGGCGCCGGGATCCTCTATGGCGTCACCCCTGCCAACACCCGCGGCAACCTGGCCATCAACGCAGTGAGTCCCTGCCTGGGGCGCTCCCCTCTTCCCTTGCCTTCCCTTTGGCACCGACATGGGGAGGAGAATCGGTCGGGATGGATCCTCAGTGCTCTGTCCGGCACGCACGGCGGGCTGGGAATGGGACCGGAGTGAAGCCGAGCTCTGACATGACGGCTTTATTGTGCGAGTGATGAGTGGGATGTTTTTCCCTCCTTTAATGAGGGCTTCCTCTGTCCTGAGGGCCCCGTGAGTCACCTGCACCATTGAGATGTGCGCAGTGCAGCCTCTCCACCTGGAGATTAGCGCGGGAGAGGAGCCGTGCCAGCAGCAGGGGAAGGGAGGGAGCAGAGCCCAGTCAGACCAGTACGGGCAGCGGGAGCAGGAGCCCACTGGAACCAGAGCACTGGGGGAGCTGGGAACAGAGACGGGTGGGGAGAGTGGTGGGGAAGACCTGGAGAAGGAGCGAGGGCAGGACGGTGTCAGGGGCCGCAAGCAGCAGGGGCTGCTCCCAGGGGAGGAGGGGGCACAGCAGAACCCTCTGAGATAAGCAGGAATGAAGCACGGCCTAAAACCCTCGGGGCAGTGCTGGAGAACATCTGCAATGAGAGTGGTGGAGCTGCTGCTCCAACCACAGACAGGCCTGGACCCCTGGGGGCAGCAGACGTGTCAGAGGGATCGGTCACTGGCATGAGGAGCTCCAATGCCTCTCATTCCTCAGGTTCCACATCCCAAACAAGTCAGATTTAGATAAAAAATGATCTGTGATGGGTTGGGTCACTTTGTCCTTTTCATGTACAGTGGGATTGAGTTCCCCTGAGAGTCCCCAGGGTTTTGTGCAGAGTCATTGGGACACAACAGCAAATTCCAGCCCATGACCTTCATCCCAACCCTCTCCCTCCGTCCCATCCCGGCTGCTCCTCATCCTCCTGGGCAGGTGCTCCACAAAGTGCAGGGCAGAAGTCAGGGTACAACAGCCTGCAAGGATCAAAGAAATGCAGGAAAAAAGGGATTTGGTGGGAAAGCACTCAGTGTTGTGGAGACAGGGAAGTGGAGAGAGATGTGGAGAGCCCAGGGAAGGGACAGGCTTGGGGGAGAGACAGATCTTGGAGAATTGCAAAGAAAGAAAGATCATTTCTTTCCTTTCAGAGAAGGAGCAGGGAGCTCAAGCAGGGGCTAGGCAGGGCCCCTGAGGGTTTTCTCCTCCAACTTCACCCTCCCAAACCTCCCAGCAAAGCACCTGGGAGCCCTCCTGGTGGTGCCGAGCCCTGGGAGGGTTAATTATTGTCACTCTCGTGATTCCAGCTCAACAACAACATAACCCCAGGCCAGGCCCTGGTGGTGGAGATCATCCTCACCTTCCAGCTGGCCGCTTGCATCTTTGCATCCACGGACAACCGGCGCAACGGCGTCGGCTCCCCAGCACTGTCCATCGGCCTCTCGGTCACCCTGGGCCACCTGGTGGGGGTGAGTCCAGGGGGAGGGTCCTGCGAGCACAGAGCTTCCCAAAAGGCCCTCGTGCAGCTGGTCCTGAGGGAGCTGCTCTGGAGGAGCAAACACAGGAGATCTTGGGGTCTTTTGTGGTGGGGGGTCATCTCCAGCTCTGTGGAACAGAGACACATCAGGGGCCACTCAGTCCCTGCTTCCAAAGGGTGGCTCCGATCTGCTCCTTAACCCAGGGTTCTTTCCACCCCTCCAGATTTACTTCACCGGCTGCTCCATGAACCCTGCACGCTCCTTCGGGCCCGCCGTTGTCACCAGGAGGTTCAGCCCCGTGCACTGGGTGGGTGTTGGTGGCACTGCAGACAGGGACTGGTGGGGGCCATGTGGGGACAGGCAGGGACTGCCATGGGAATGGCAGGGGTGGGGGTTTCAGAGCCCACCCCAGGCAGGAAGGATTAAAAGGGGCTGGAGAAGGAGGGAGGTTTTGCCTCCTGATGCATCGGGAACAGTTAATCCCCGGGCACAGAGCCAGCCAGGGGACAGAAAATGAGCCCATCCCAGGGTAGGTTGGGTGGGAACAACCTAAAAACTCATCCAGTCCCCATGCCATGGGCAGGGACATCTTCCACCAGCCCAGGTTGCTCCAAGCCCCATCCAACCCAGCCTTGGACATTTCCAAGCACAGAAATCAGCCGTGGTGCCCCCTGAGCACCATTGGTGCACCATCTGAGGGGAAGGAAGCCCACAGAGGAGCCCAGCTTGGTCCTCCCTCTTACTCAGCACTTCCTGCAAGCTCAGCCCCAGACTCACAGAGCAGGTTTGGCCCTCAGTGAGCACAGACTGGGGGGGGTTCAGCCCAGGAAGTCTCTGGAACAGGTATTTTCCTCTCTGCATGGCAGGAGATGTGGAGCAGGGATGGATGGATGGATGGATGGATGGATGGATGGATGATGGAGGGATGGATGATGGAGGGATGGATGATGGAGGGATGGATGGATGATGAAGGATGGAGCCATGAGCAGAGCTGGAACAGCAGCCCCGGAAGCTGCTCTCACCACGTCCCTGTTGCTTTCCAGGTGTTCTGGGTTGGGCCCATCCTTGGGGCTTGCTTGGCCTCCCTGCTCTACTTCTACATCCTGGTCCCCTACTGCATGAACATGTCTGACAGGGTGGCCATCATCAAGGGCACCTACGAGTCCGAGGAGGAGTGGGAAGAGCAGCGGGAGGAGAGGAAGAAGTCCATGGAGCTGACCCCGCCATAAGAGCAGCTGGCAAAGCCAAGCCGAGGGAGGGGAGGAAGGCCCACCCGTGGGCTCGTGTGTGCCCCAAAGCCAGGCAACCACCACACCCAGCTGCAGCTGCTGACTCTTCATCCAGACCTTCCCATCCAGGCCCCGTGGATGCCGGAAGGCCGGGGGCTCTCTGTGTGTGTAAAGAACCCCTGCATGAGCTCTAGAACCTCCCCAGCTTCCCCACAGCCACAAAGCCCCTCAGCCAGGCCCTGGCACCCTCGGCTGCAGCCCTGCCCTCCTGGTGCAGCTCTGCACTGTGGCAGGGCCCCACACCCCACACTGGGGCACCTGCAGGACCTCACCCGGCCCAGGTATGGGAACACCTGGGGGCCCCTGGGGGAAGGGGAACAACTGCTTAGGGCAGGGGGGTGCAGCTACCCCCAGCCCAGGGGCTGCTCGTAGATGCTCTTTCACCTTTCCTGGTGCTGGGAGTCCTTTTTATTCCCAAACAATGAGACTTTTTGGATTCTGTGTTGAGATCTTTGTATTATAGTTTATTATTTATTGCAAATAAAGGAAAGTTTAAAAAAAAAAAAAAAAAAAAAAATTCCTGGGTGCAAATCAGCTCAAGTCTCAAAGTTTAGGAGGGAAAACAGATTGAGCTGGGCACAAACTCATCCCAGAGGGTCAGGGAAATAGCAAAGGCTCAGACCCTGGATCCTGTGGGAGCTGGTGGTTTGGGAGGGGAAAACATGAGTCCTGAGAAGCATAAGTGGGTGTCTGTGCTGGAGTAGGGAAGAGAAGCAGGTGCAGAGCAGCTGGGAGTCCATCCCGGGCTGGAAGGAGCAGGAGCCTTCCTTCCAGCACTTCCAACCCTTCCCACACGGCCGGTTTGACTCCAGCCGTACCAGTTCTCCCAGACAGCTCCACGGGTGCCCTCAAAAAGTGACCCACAACTCCCCAGCCCCTCAGCTGTGCCAAACCCACACCTTCACCTGACCTTCTGCTCTGGCCCTGCTCTTCCAGTTCTACCACAACACTCTGCCAGAGCAGCTCCCGGCACAGGGACAGGGACACCAGGACAGGGACACCGGCACAGGGACACCAGGACAGGGACACCGGCACAGGGACACCCACCCCGGCCCCACTCCCCAGATCCAGCCCCTTCTCCTGCTGCCAAGGCGAGGTTCCCATCAAGGGGAGAACCCCCAGGGAGGGGGGAGGCTCTTCCCTGGGAGCTCCCCCATCCCAGGTTCAGCTCCATCCCATCCTGGAGCATTCTGCAGCCTTGGCCGGGGGGGATGGGCAGCCTCACCTGGATTTTGACACCCTGGACCTGCAGTCCCAGCTGAGCCTTCATCTTCACTCCCCCAACTGTCCCCAGAAGGGGTTGGGGACAAGCAGAAGGAGGAAGGGAGGTAGAAGAGCCCTTTGGGTCAGCAGCAGGGCAGGAAATTAAACTCTGCAAACCCCCCCAGGTGTCCTCAGGGATGGGCTGAGGACCCCCCACACCTCAGTTTGCCTTTTTGAGGGATATTTGGCCACCTTCCCATGGGGAGATGGGAAAAAACCCAGCCCTGGGGAGATTAAAGCAGACCCAGAGACCCCCGGTCAGGGGCTGGGGTAGGGCAGCCCCCTCAAAACCTGCACCCCCCAGTGTGCTTCCCCTGTGCCCCAGGGCCCTGAGGATGCACACAAAGGTTGCATTCACTCCCCAGAACTGGGAATCTTGGCCGTCCCCCTGATTCTGGAGCTCTGAACCCCATCCATCCCCACTCCAGAGGAGGGATGGGGGAGCCCCGGTGGGAACTGGGGACCACCACAGCCCCCCCAGTCCCTCCAGGTGATCACCAGCAGGGGAAGGAGCCCGGGCTGGGTGTGAGCCCTCCCGGGATGAATCAGAGGCTCCTGCAGCTCCAGCTCTGTGTCAGCACAAAAACCGTCCAGGGCCCAGCCCTGAGCCCAGCTCGGGCACTGCCAGGGGGATTTGGGGTCAGCGGGACCCCAAAGCAGGGCAGGTGCAGCTGAGCCCAGCAGGAACAGAGCCCAGAGCTCCTTCCCCCACCAGCTTCCCTGGGCCCTGAGGATTTGATCCAGGCAGGGAGGTGAATTTAATCCAGGCTGAATTTTGGCATCCAGCAAACCCCGTGACCTCACCTGGCCAGGGCAGCGCCCAGGGCAGGGCTGGGAAAGGACTGAGGGCCTCCCACCTGTGCTCACCTGTCCAGGAATGGGAACAGCAGCACTTGAAAACCAGTGCAGAATTTATTATTACTTCTTTAACATTCCAGCTTCTTCAGACTAATTTTTAATTAGATTGGAAGGCTGGGAGGCAGCAATGCCCCATTCACTCCCTGAGCAGAAATTGGCTTTTCATGGAAAAATCCACCTTTATTTCAGCAGAAACAGCAAGGCCAGGTACAAACCTGTGTGTTCACACTGACTTACCTGCAGTGCTGTGCTGGTTTTCCTGCTTCTCCCTAAAACAGGAGCTTCCATTCCATTCCATTCCATTCCCTAAGCCACACAGCTCCACCATTGTTTGGGGCATTAAAAGGTGAATTACATTTTATTACCAGCTTTTTTTACCCTAATTTAAATATTTCTCACCAGGTGAAACCACTCCAAAGGCACCTCATTACCATGCCTGGGTGGTTTTGCTCTAATTAAGGGTTATTCCCTGAACGTGCCCACGAGCAGCTGCTCTGCTCTTAAGAAGATTTCACAGATAATTCCTCACTCCTGAGTACCTTTTCCATCCTCAGGTAATCACTTCTCAGCTTTAAAAAATGGGGTTTTTTTCTTTTTTTCTGGAGGGAGGACAAACCCAATAATTTTCACGAGTTGCAACAGTCTGGAAACTTCACATTTTTAATACATCAAAGGGCTTTCAGGTCTATTTAAGTCTAATTAAGAAAGATGTCCACCAGATAATTTAAGTTCCCTGAACCCCAAGTTTTCTGGACAGGGGAAGGAACCAGGGCCATGAGAAGAAGCAAAATTCGGTGGAAATGGCCCAGTTAAGGATTTTTCTGTGGGATGCAGGAGCTTCTTTGTTTCTGCTCCTTGCAGAGGGTGAGGCCTAGCTCAGTCCAGGAGGCAGCAGGGACAGAGCTCCACATCTGGGACACATCCCTTCCACCCTGCTCCCAGCTCCAACTATTTTGCATCCCTGAATGCTTTGTTTGAATCCTCAGGTCCTGGAGAGCAGAGTCTGGTTTCACCCAGCTCACTGGGAAGATGAGGAGAAAACAACCCAGGAAATCCCAGAGAGGGAGAAAAGGATTACAGGAGGGCTTGAATCCCAGCTGGGAAATCCCAGCAGCCCAGGGAGCAGCTCCCTGCTGCAGGAGGAATTCCAGGGCTGCTCTGGAGAGCCCCGAGCAAGCAGAGAGCAGCCACGAAGGAGCTGAGCCAGAGGAGAGAACTGAGAACACAGAACAGAACCCAGAATACAGAACAGAACCCAGAACTCAGAATAAAGAACACAGAACAAAGAACCCAGAACAGAGCTCAAGGCTCCACACCAGGAAATTTTATTCCTGCAAATACTGACATTTCCAGAGCATTTCCAGAGCATTTCCAGGGTTGAAATGTCGCTGGAGAGGAGGGAGCTGTGCCCCAGGAGGAGAGCCCAGCCTGGGTGTTGGCATTAGTCACAGCACAGGCTGTGCCAGCACCCACCTCCTCCAGAGCCTTCCTCCTCCTACTCAGCCTCTGCCCAGCCTGTTGTGCCATGAGATCCCTCGTTAGGAGCCAGGAAACAGCTCCCAGGCCACCAAGGGACAACAGCCACCCTTCCTGTTGTCACTCCGGCCAGGAACGCGGCCTCTGCCTGAGCAGCACCTCCTGGAATTTGTGTTTGGCTCCCTGGCTCAGTTCACGGGGATTTGGGGGTCAGGCTGGGCACCCCCCGGTGCTGCCAGTGCCACCAGTGCCCTGCCTGGTCCCCACAGTGCACCAAGACCCCAATGTGTGCATGGCAGCACCATCACTCATGGAAAGGTGAGAGCTGCCCAAAAAACACCCAGAACTTTGAGGAGGCAAAGGGCTGGAGATGTCCAGAGAGCAGGGAGGGCAAGAAGAGACCCAAAGGTGCTTCTGTTCCCACTAAACACCTCCCACAGCCCCCAATACCTCTTTAATAATTCCCAACTTTAATAAGTCCCAACTCCTACAGCCCAAAAAATGCCTCTTTAATAAATTCCAACAGCTTTAATGAGTCCCAACTTAGCTTTTAATAAGTCCCAACTCAACTCTAATACATTCCAACTCCTTCAGCCCCAAAATCACCTTTTTCAAGCCAGAACAGCTGGGAGTTTTTAGCAGATGTCCCAGGGTGGGGACCAGGAGGGGACAGGAGTCCCCCTGCCCTGCGTGCTCTGGAGCAGCGCCCCTGGGAGAGCGAAGGGTGCCGAGGCCATCTCCTGCTGCCCTCTGCTGGGATTGCCCGTGGGGAAAGGAGAGGTGGCAGGAAAACCCTCCCCAAAACAGCCCCAGCTGAGGGAAAACCCCTCTGTTGTTTCCACCCACCCTTCCCAAAGCTCAGCCTCAGCACCCCATGGACATGGAGGTTCCTCCCTGGCTTCTGGGGACTCCGCTCATGCTGCTGCCGGCGCGCTCTTCCCGCTGCCAAGTTTCCTCTTGCTCAAGGTTTTGCCTCGGCTTTCCAGGATCTGTTTGTTCTTAATCACCCTCCAAACAAAGTCCAGGCGGCTCCTCTGAGGGCTGCTGGTGATGGCATCAATAAAAATCAAGAGTAATAAGAAGGGAAGATAAAGGCGCCCTGCAGGCCTGAGCTTGGCCTAACAAAGGGGCTTTGTTGGGAAAGGTCAGCTGGAGCTGAGAGGGTTTTCCAGGCTGGAGAAAGCAAGAACCCAGCAGGCAAGGAGGGGATTAAACTCAGCTTTGTTAAACCACAGCCTGGGGTGAGGTGTCGGAGTTGCCCCAGCTCCTCCAGCCAGGTTTTGGGCTGGGTTCCTCCAAAACAAGAGCTCTGCAAGCGCAGTGCCTCCATCCAGCCCCAGGAT